TAGTAGAAGCCTTAGGAGTTGCCACGATGGAAGGTCCCTCAACCACGGGCAAAGCCCTGACTGGGCTACTCACCGGAGTCGTCGCTGAGGTAGCCGCAGGCGATGCAACCATGGGCAAAGGAGAATGCGTAGATGAAACTAGAGAAGACCCATTCGAAGACAGACCGGAAGCTGAAGACAGCTTGGACAAGGCAACAGCTTCGAACTTGCGACGCACACCTCACACCAGTGACACAACAGAGCTCACGGTGACCAGTGACGGACCTTTTAGGAGGAGGTGATGGGGCAAGTGAGATTGGTAGAAGAGACGATCACGGGTGAGAGCTCCGGTTAAAAAAAAACCAAAATGAAAGAGGGAATAATGCCAGAAGTGAGAGAAAAATAAATCTGACACACCCACGGTTCCTGGATAAGCTTTTCATGCTTCAAATAAGCTCATCTTCTTGACTTAATTTTAAAAGCTCGATCATTTAGCTTGTAAGAGATAAGCCTAATATGTTATAAGCCCTCCCAAACATTAGATAATTTTTCAATCGGGCTTTTGCTGATAAAAAGCTACTTATGGGTTAAATTAAGTCATTCCAAACAGGCACTTAATAGTTTATACAAAAACAAGATGTTACTATCCAACATTTACTAGTCGACAAAGAATGTGTTTTTATTGTAAATTCTCAAGTAATATTCAAATTACATTCAAATCTTAATTACATACTCTTTTTTAGTCCAGAAAAAGTAGTAGGAAGATACATATTTTTTTATAAATATAAAATATTGTTTGGTTTTATTTCTCAAATTTATAATTATATTATATTTTTTCTAAGCTCTCTTAATAATTAATACCTCTGGTTTTAAATATAAGAGCTAGTTGACTAATTTAAGTAGATTAAGAAAATAAATTAAGTTAGTTACTATAATAAATATGTGTTATCTTTTAAAAATATCTTTATTAATCAAGTATATTAGTTAGAATTATTATTAGAAGAACTGTCTTGAAAAAAATAGATAAATATGAGAGATAAAGTGAATTAGAATCTTATATTTGGATCAAAAGAAAAGTCAAATGAGGTCTTATATTAAAGACCAGAGGTAGTACATATTAAGAAAGTCTCATTAAAAAAGTAATTTTATTGCAAATCGCCGAAACAAATATTTTTTAAAAAGCTTTTTTTTTCCCCAAATAATCAGCTGAAAACTTTTTTCTTGATCTTTAAATATTAATAACATAGCTCATATGTTTGGATAACAAGTTCAATTCAGGACGAATTAATGGAGGTTCTCCACGTTAGTCAAACAAAACGTGGGTTCAGCCCCCCTTTTTTTTTAATTTATGGAATAAACTTACTTACAACAGATAAATTCAAGAAATAGTCTGTCTTAACCGACCCCAATTAAGTATAGATATTTTGTTATCTTTTTTCTACTTGCTTTTCTCATATTTTTTTCACTCACTCACCTCCTCATATTTTTCATAGATAAGAGTATATTTTAAAAAAAATATTTTATATGTATTTATTATCTCCAACTAATTTTAGTTAATTCATTAATTTAAATAATTTAATTATTTGTAATGAATCAAAAAGGATTTGGTGGCCGGTGGGGGTGGCAGAAGAAAAGTTCTTAACCTTTCTTTGTCCACTGTAGCGACGCCGATGATGACCCGTTAATTCATTGACTGGGAAGATGGGTTCTCCCGCAACGCCATCGTTGCGACAAGACCCGTCCTACAGTTTTGTGATTCTTTTTCACTGCACTTGATTAGGACCAAACATCCCATACTTTCGAAAATCATATTAATTACAAAGCGAATAATACTTTTTTGGCCAAAAAAGGAAAGCGAATAATCCTACCATCCTATTTCAAAAAATCAGGGAAAATTGAAAAAGAATTACACATAAAGCACGTGTACTGATTGTATTCTACAAATCTGTCACCAATAAAATTTTTAATACGGGGAATTTTCTTCAATTTAAAAAATAATATTCAAGCACATGGTTTTAATCTGTTCATTTTATATCAAGGCTTTTGATTTGGGTAATTGTGTTTTGGAGCTTCTGAGCTTAAAGATACGGTGTAAAAATTTGTTCCCATCCTTTTCACAACGCTAATTTACTGAACATGCATCGACGGAATTAACTCGGCTCATTATAATAATTCTAACTATCTCATCGGGCGTAGCAACAAAATAAATAAAAGATGATATTACTTCCTTATCCGAATTTACAAATTCTTCGCTTTTTGTTTTTTACTGAATAAAGGTTTAGTGCTGTGGGCGGTGGCATGTTACGCGTGAGGCACGGGTAGGCGTTCACAGGAGATCCGCTGCTTGATGCATTTAACGTGTATTGCCGGCAGGAAAATGATGACTTCACAAACATGCAAAAACTGTTCTTTACTCCGCCCGCAGCTGCATTATACCACCTCAAGTTTTTAATATAAAATATTATTTGATTTTTATTTTGATTCTAAATATAACAACTCAATCCATTTTATCTCTTATATTTATATATTTTTTTAAGCTAGTCCTTCTAACAATAATAATTCTAACCAATAAACTTTATTAGTAAAAATATTTTAGAAAAAATAACACATATTTATTACAAATAACTAACTTAACTTCTTTTCTTAATCTCATCAAATTAGTCAATTAGCTCTTATAAATAGGATCGGAGATAGTAGTGTTCACAAACAGCATGAAATCTTTGATTTTCTCTTTTGCTACCTCCGTATAATCACATGTTCAAAAATTTAATTTTTTTGGCAACCATGTTTTGCAGCAAGCTTCTTATTTAATGAGACCGTGATTTAATATTTATTCATAAACGCGGAATCCACCGCGCGCTGGTTAATTATTGATCCTTTGGGGGGGGAAAAATGCGCAACAAAATATGCACGAACATATACATATAATTATACACTATCTCCCGTGATTAATATAATAACTAGCTAATTAATTTAAAAATATTAAAAAAATTAGTTAAACTGATTATTAATAACAAATGTGTGTTGACTACCTTAAATTACCATTGTTCAATCATATATATTGGGACTAAGCTTGAATGTAAATATTTTACAATCAATAGGAATATTTCTAAGGACACATTATAAATTTGAGAGATAAAATATATTAAAATCTTATATATAGGACTGCTAACTAGTTCTTATATTTAGTACCAGAAGTAGTATTAGCTCATGTTATACTACCTCCGATCCTTAATATAAGGTTCCGTTTGACTTTTATGTTGATTTTAAATATAAGACCCCAATCCATTTTGTCTCTCATATTTATTCAATTTTTTTCAAGATAGTCTTTCTGATAATTATAGTTTTACCCAACATACTTGATCAGTAAGGATATTTTAGGAAGGACAGCACCTATTTATTACAAATAATTAACTTAACTTCTTTTTTTAATTTTCTCAAATCGGTCAACCGGCTCTTATGATTAGTACCAGAGGTAGTGCATGATTCAATATAATTTTTTATCCTTTAAGTTTGCTCTCATTTTAATTCTGGTTTATCAAATTTCAAATCATAAGTTTTAGTTCTTTAAACTACTTTTTATTTAAAATATTAGTCCCTATAATTTAAAAAAAAAATCACAAATATTTTGCCCCTTCAATGATTACAATCTATAGTTTATACAACGTTCACATTAAAGAAAAAAGTTAAAGTATATTTTTAGTCTTTTAACTTTACACAAAGTTTTATTTTGGCCCTATAACTTTAAAAAATAATTTTTTATTCCTCTAACCCTAAAACTGTTAGAAGAAAAAAAATAATGATATTTTGCTCTTGAATACTGATAAAATATTACTAAATGCTAACATATTAAGTTTGATATTTAAAACAACCATAATAATTATAAAAATTATCATTTAAGATTAATAATTTTAGAATTAAATGACTAAAAATATATTCTTTCTGTTCTAAACATAACACCTTTATACTAATATAAGAGTCTTATATTTAAGATCGAAATTAAAATCTTACATAAAATTAAAAAATAAACGTATTCTTTAGTCAAAAAAATTTTAAAAAAGGAAAAATCATAAATAAAAACCATAAAATTATAAAAATTATAAATTGAGACCCATGATAATATTAGTATAGGTTTTGATAATAATAATATGAATTTTGATAATAATTTTTGAATCAGTATTTGTGTGTAATTTTTCTAATTCTACTATCTTTATTTGCGTTTTTTCCAAAGAAAAATGGGGAGGAGAAAAGGAAAGAAAGCGAAGAATGAAAGACAGGGCCGTAAATGAACGTGAATGAAAGTGGAGGGGTCCCAACTGCCCCGTCTCGAATCAATCACATCTCACCGCTTCCATCCCCTCCCACTTCTCTCCACGTGCTTATTTCACTTATTCCCTATCAACGGCCCCCTCTGGTATTATTAAATATTAACTAATTTAATTTGAAGAGATTAAAAAAATAAATTAAATTAGTTATTTATAATAAATAAATGTTATTTTTAAAATATTTTTACTAATCAAGTGTATTAGCTAGAACTATCATTATTAGAAAGACTATCTTAGAAAAAATGTATAAATATAAGAGACAAAGTGAATTGGGATCTTATATTTATAATCAAAGTAAAAGTCAAATAATGTCTTATATTAATGACTAGATGTAGTATTACTTATCTGATCCTTAATATAAGATATATTTAACTAATTTGATTATATTAAAGATTAGATAAATTAGTTAATTATAAGAAATATGACATGTTTTTATTAAAATACCGTAATTATCCTTTTTAATATCGTCTTTCTCTTTTCTACTTGATTATGATTAAAATGTATTCATAGGATAATTTTAAAAAAATAATAAATATAAAAAATAAATTTTATATTTAGAATCCAAATTAATTTAATAATTAACTTTTATATTAAAAAGGAGGAGGGTATTATATTTTTATCTTTCCCTTTCATCACCACGTGTTTAAACTTTAAATTCGTCCGCCTTCCTTCACGCTCTCTCTCATCCCCTCTCCTCCCTCTCCCTCTCCCTGCTGCCTCTCTCTCCCTCTCTCCCTCTCAGACACAACCATGAAAATCCATAAATCTTGTTTTAGTTTTACTACTGCAGTTACTTTCTTATTCATTGTTTTGGCCCCCAAACACTTCACCCGATCCCTCGCTGAGCCCGCTGCCTCTGCTTACGACGCCGTTTTCTCCTCCGACCGGTGTTACAGCCTGGACCAGAAAGCAGAGACGAAGAACTCGCTGAATTCCTCCGTGACTTGTAAAAACCAGACGCTCCGATCACGAGCACCTCTATCGGGCTGTGAAGTATGGACCAAAGCGTGCTCGGAGGGGGTGCTGAGTATAGCGCGGCAGCCGGAGACGGTGGAGTGGCTGAAACGGTTGAGGAGGAGGATCCACGAGAATCCAGAGCTGGCTTTCGAGGAGATCGAGACAAGCCGGTTGATCAGAGAGGAGTTGGATCGGATGGAAGTTAGTTATCGATATCCTCTGGCTCAGACCGGTATTCGGGCCTGGATCGGCACCGGTGGTCCTCCTTTTGTTGCCATCCGAGCTGACATGGACGCGCTTCCTATTCAGGTTTCCTCCTGAATTGTACTTTTTCCTCGTCCTTCTTCTTTTTTCCATAAAAAAAAAAGAAGAAAAGAAAAACACTCCGCGTTGCTCTGGCTAACCCCTCCTCCATTTTCGAGGTTTATTGAATATTCTTCCTTTCACTCTCGTTTTCTAATAATTTTATCTTAAAGTATTCTTGTTCTTTTTCATCACTTTTTAACAGTACTACAGAGGTAGACTTCCGGGACTTTCAACGGGAACCATAGTTTCTTATGATGAAATACTTGATTATAAAAATCTCTATCTTCTAACTCTCATGCACGCACCGTCATAAAATATAAAATTAATCATATTCCTCTCCAACGTTGCACTGAAATCTTTTGACAAGTCATTAACCGAGGTACTTAATTTACGTGTTTAAATGGCAGTTAACTATTGTTTTTGTGGGGATATTTGGTACTAACGTGTGGACCGGGGCAATATTATAATGTGTCATTAAAACGCGATATGCTTGATTATAATTAGCTTGATTCCAGCAAATTAAAGCAAGCAAGCAAGAAGGCTGAGTATTATATCAAGTAACTTGCTTAGTTATGTACTTATCACACGGAAGAAACAAAGACAATTGGGCATTTTACAGAGTGTAATGAAAAAGGTGTGGGGTAACTTGGTTGTAGGAAGCAGCGGAGTGGGAGTACAAATCTAAAGTTGCGGGTAAAATGCATGCTTGTGGGCACGACGCACACGTGACCATGCTCATCGGTGCGGCTAAAATCCTCAAGAGTCGGGAGCATTTATTGAAGGTTCGTCCTTTCATTCTCCATTCCTTTCCCCATTTTACACTGTAGTAGTGGATCAAAAATTGTCGGTCTGTTTCTTAACATTAGCACGTTTTTTTTTTTTTTTTCCTTCCTTGGGATGCCAGCGCTCGAACTCGTGCCCTGTGGTTTAAAAGGGTGGCCGTAAACCACAAGGGCACACGAGCGCCAGCAACATTTGCATGTTTTTATTCTGACCTCTTGTTTCTTTTCTTGTTTATTGTCATATCCTCAATGAAGTTATAAATGACAATGGTGCGTATCAACAGGTCAACATTTTAAGCTCTTTTAATATAAAATGGAGTAATAAACTGTAACCCCCCCCCCAAAAAAATACATGCATATTTTCAAGTTCTGCTTGCTAGGGTTTGACGATATATGACTTCTGGGAGGGGCAATTGGGTTTTCCACATGTACAATCTTCTTTTTCTTCTTTGTTTTCCCCATCCCCTATTCTGTTTTAATTTAATTTCCGGAATCCAAGCAAACTAAGTTCACGTGGGTCGGTTCTTTCTGCTAGACGTTTAGTAGGGGGTTGGTATGGTCGACACGTGTTTCCGGGGGGTCGACTCTAAAGTGTTTTTGCAGACTTTCTTTTTAACCCCTAGCACAGTGCAGTAATTACAAAAACCCGATTCGTTGGAACATGTTCCGCCGTGCAATCCCTTCGCTGTCCATTTGTGATTTATGGTTGCCCAATGGATGTTGTCTCCGCTTTTCCTTCTGATTAACAGACAGAAAAATGGTGTGTTCATCGGAGTACGGTGATTAGTTTTTCCCCCGGCCGGGCCAATGCTGTCTATGGTGTGCGGAGATTATTTTAATGTATCTGTATGGATCAAAATGGATATAGGAGGTGATCGAGACGCTTCCATATGATAACTCTTTTCAGTTGAGAACACGTTACGTGCCTTTTCAGTTTGGGGCCAGAGAACCTCATTATGTTGTACACCAACCAGAATCAGTTTTTGAGGGTGTACAAACATGTCATCGACTTTCGGTTGATTTTTAAGCTCCGAGTGGGGTTAGTTCGAGTTACCCTGGACGTCAGTTGATGTCTCCGCTCAGGACATACAATAGAAAACAAAAACGGATTCCATCCTTGGACCATTTGCTTTTGCCTTCCACCTTTATCCCTCCAACCCCCTTTATTTTTTCACAAACTAACACTTCCCCTTTGTCTTTCAACTGGTATTAGGTCAACTCATTTGTGGCCCTACAAAAAATGGCCTTCTCATCAGCCTTTACTTTTTAAAATTGCCTTTTAAGATAATTCACTAACATTTTATCAGACTTTAGTTAAAGCAATTCTTATTCTATGAATCCGTTATCCTATTCTTTCTTTTTCAAAAAATTTGAAGTGAATACTTTTTGCTAAGTGGGACAGGCAGATTGGCATCTCCTGCGTCACTAGGAAAGAACTTGTTCTGACGAAATGTTAATATATATGGTGTTGAGCTAAGATGCTCGCCATCGAATATCGATATTGAATATGGCCGGCTAGCTTTTGTACCAATGACAAGAGCACGTGGTTCAATAGGGCCGCGCTGCTCGGTTCCCTTTTCTTCTCGTTCGAGGAGAACGGAATCTACGCGTACGGGAGCTTTGTAAAGTTACCTTGAAAAGATTTCAGTTTTTTTCTTTTTTCTGTCTGTTCGCGTTGAATTGGGGTACAAATTCAGATGCCGTTATATACGTGATCTACCCCGCAGACTATATTGGAACAGCAAGAATCACTATACTTATCTAGTATTTGTAATTTCGTTCGAGAGTTCTTGGTCTCAGGTCCGAAACAAACAAAAATTCTAATGATTAAGAAGTTTTTTTATTTTTAAAATTTTTGGGTAGATATCAATAAGATTTCTTGGGAAATAACATTTACGTATTTAAGGGTCAAGTTTAGATTTGTCGGAGTTATTTTAAGGGAGGAAAAGTAAACTTTGATGACTGTTGTGTTCTTATTCACAGGGAACAGTGGTGCTGATATTCCAGCCAGCAGAGGAAGCGGGGAATGGAGCGAAACGAATGATAGAAGAGGGGGCTTTGGAGGACGTGGAGGCCATATTTGCGGCTCACGTATCTCACCAGCTCCCAACGGGCATTATCGGGTCGAGGCCCGGACCTCTGCTCGCTGGCTGTGGCTTCTTCAGAGCTGTCATTAGTGGCAAAGGGGCTCGTGCTGCCACTCCTCACCGCTCTCTTGATCCCCTCACGGCTGCTTCTGCCGCTGTCATCAGCTTGCAGGGTATTGTCTCCAGAGAATCGGATCCATTAGATTCCCAGGTCTATTTCGAATTCTTCATCTGTCTTGTCTTGTTCGTGTTCATTTATGCTGTTGACTAGCTCTCACTTACAATGGCCTGACTTAATAACTCAGGTTGTCTCAGTGACTTCTCTCAACGGAGGCAACAGTCTCGACGTGATACCCGATAAAGTGGTCCTTGGTGGCACTTTCAGAGCTTTCTCCAACGCAAGCTTTTACCAGCTCCTTGAAAGAATAGAGCAGGTTAGCCACCAATATATGTACACACACATATATATGGACAAACCTTATACTTAACGTTGACGCAAATTTTCTTTCTCTGTTTTTTTTTTCAAAAAAAGTAACGCACTAAAAACGGGGGGAATATATTTTTGCCGCGGCATCTTGAATAATTGAACTAATTGCTGGTCTGAAATTAGGTAATTAGAATTATTCAAGCCACTCTTAATATTGAATATACTAAGCACAGTGAGGGACACGGTCATGAATGCTTGATTTAGAGTACTAGAGCAAAATAGCGAAGGAGGTAAGTCGAATTGCATGATGTGAAACAGGTGATTGTGGAACAAGCCAGCGTCTACAGATGCTGGGGAGAAGTAGACTTCTTCGAAAAGGAATATACCATTTATCCTCCAACAGTTAACAGTGATCGAACGTATGAGCATGTGAAGAAGGTGGCGACGGATTTGCTGAGCGAAACAAATTTCAGGGTGGTCCAACCCATGATGGGCGCTGAAGACTTCTCCTTCTATTCCGAGGTGGTGCCTGCTGCTTTCTTCTACATAGGAATCAGGAACGAAACGTTGGGGTCTGTTCACACTGGCCATTCTCCTCTTTTTATGATCGATGAGGATGCTCTTCCCATTGGCGCTGCTACTCATGCCTCCATTGCTGAAAGGTATCTCATTGAACACCACTGATTCTGCATGTCTCAAAGCTACGCCTCACGGCTCCGGTTTGCAACTTATTTTGTACAAAATTAGAATAGCCACGTTAGGTTTATCGAATCTTCCCTGTGCGCTCATGTTGTCATTTGGGCTGGGCTTGGAAGATCCACTCAAAACAAAAGCCCGTTCTATCGTTATGTGGATCTCCAGAAAATGGGCCAAAAGTCAAATTGTCAATGGTGTTTCAATTCGCTTTTGACGAAGATGTCCATGAGTGTAAACTACTAGGAAGCTCAGGAACTCGTATATACGGTTAGACCCATATTATAAAGGATAAGACTCGATCGAATATTACTCTCCCAGAGATTCATATTCATTTGTTGCCCCTTCCGAAATGATTCCAATAACGCGGCGCCCATGCTGCCTATGTTGTTGAGGAGTCAGCGCCAGCAGATACTATTTCCAATTTTTAATATAAGACTTCATTTGATTTTTATTTTGGTCTTAAATATAAAACTCCAATTCACTTTGTCTTTCATATTTATTTATTTGTTTTCAAGATGGTCTTTCTAATAATAATAGTTTTAACTAGTAAACTTGATTACTAAAGATGTTTAGGAAAAACAACATCTATTTATTATAAATAATTAATTTAACTTGTTTTCTTAATTTACTCAAATTAGTCAACTAGTTTTTATATTTAGGATGCGATTTAGGATGCGATGCCCGCTGCCTCATGGGCCTGGCTCTCTCTCCCGTCTTTTTTATGTGTATGACTTTAAAACACATTCTTATCATGATAATTTCTCTATCCTTTTCTCTTTGGTTTTTTTTTTTTTTACCCCTTTGTATCTCGTATCCATTCATTATCTTGCCACATTTTCACATGCGCCTGTACAAAACTTTGGAGGAAAATCACTGTTCCAAGATTCAAATGATCAAGAGCAACAACTAACAACTAAGCCAAACACCTACACGCAACCAATGGGTTGATAAAAGAGACAGGGAGAGAAGGCATGCAAGTTGTTGTAATTCGGTTTACTTGGATACATGCACGCAAAATATTAGCACTTCACATGAAGCCATTCAGGATTTGGGAGGGCTCAAATCTCAAAGCCTGTTTCTGCGCAAAGTATTTGTACTTTGTCTGCAGAATCTAATTCATGTATAGAGAAGCTAAACTCTGTCCACATTCTTGGGACGGCTTTTATGACTAAGCTGAGAGAGAGAGAGAGAGATTCTCTGCTGCCTTCGTTGAAATGTACGTGTTTTTTGTTTCTCTTTTGTGACCTACACAATCTCGCACCACACATCACTGCACACCCATCAAAGAACATATATAGCCGCATGCCCTCCCCAGCCAATTCTGCTTCAATTAATCTGCATAAGTAGCCTTACCACCAAATATATATATTTCTTTCTTTTTTCCTGATCCATTAACCAACATTAATTACAAGTCGTCAAGTACTTCTTCGCTCGCAACATGAATTGGTAGTTTGGCAGGTCGATGTAGTGTTTTTTTTTTTTTTTTTTCATTTAGACGAGTAGCGAAAAGCCGAAGTACATACAAGCGAATCAAACGTACGCAGTTCGACTAAAGGAATTAATACTGAATTGCCTCCAATCTGCTGAGAGTGAATTTTTCCAATCTTAATCCATTCGTATGCAAAGTATAAGGCGGTAACAGATTTCCCAGGAAATGAAGACCGACTCGTTTGAATCACGCACCCTCCATCTTGTTCATCATGGTCGTGGCATCAGCTCACGTAAATCTCCATTTAGTTCATAGCTATTCATATTTTCAATAGCCAGAGAAAGAAGTTCACCCTTCTTTACCATTCAATTTCACAACTGATAATCACGCGAAATAGAATTCATATTAATCAAAAGTTGTTACCTTTTACTTTATAAATCATTTTGGTGCCATTGTTTCTATAGATTCATAGAAGGTAACCGTATTTGTGAGATCAATAGAAGCCAATCATCAAAGATAAGGCTGAATGCGCATGCAAACTTTATTGTTCATGCAATTTCTTTGTTGTACAATTCAGATTCTCGTTTGTATTCTTTGTTTGCCGATATGAAAAAGGTGCAGTGCCTCAATGGATTACTCTTCTTCACAATTCTTTTCAAAGTTACAACCTTTAATGATTTGGATCTTTGTTCGTCCCGTTCTTTTTTTGGTGGGGTCGATTCTTCTAGCGTCAAATCTCGCATCTCAGAGAAACCATACTTACGAATTAAGAAGACTTTAGGGGGATCAGTAAGAGTAGATATTTCAGAAAATGAAATGGACCACATGAAATATGCTTTAAGTTTCCAAAGAAAGATAAGGGGCATGCATGTGAGTTGGGAGGGTGGCCATTAATCCAGCACAGGAAGATCCCAACACAAACACATAATTGAAGGGACCCCTCATTCCATTCGAGCTGATTTTTCTCTTTGCTTTGATTCATCTTTTGTCCTTTTAAGCGTCACGTTTTTATAAAGCCACACATTCCTTTACCATGAAAACAATGTTTCTTACCTAACTGACCTCCGTCTTTGGTGGGCTTGTCAGAGCTTCAAACACGAGATCTCGAATCATCATGCGTATTTCTGCGTAACTTGTCCCAGTTGGGTTTCTCATTTTAAAATAAAGTCACAAACGACGACATGCAATATCTTCCTACAGATTTTACCACTTTTCTTTTCCTCTTTTCAACGTCAAACTAGATATCTGTATTGAATGACTCGATTGCATAACCAAGCCACAGACCTTACATAAAGGCAAACAACAGACAATAATGTGTGCATCCAAAAACGTGAACGAAGAGATCGGGGACGTGATATATATTGATAATGATTTGCGGGCGTGTCTATACGAACCATTCCGAATCACGCTTGAATCTGATATACTTGGTTGAAAATTAAGGGCAATGCACATTTTATTCTCCGGCTAGGAAAGTGTATTTTAAATCTGATGTTTTTGCGGAAAGAGATTATTTTGTACAATGGATAAACATGACATTATGGCACTTTCAAAACCCTGTCATATCATCGGCTTATTTAACTTCACAAAGTCGATTGGAGTATTAGACCCATCCGTAGAACGACGAGTTTTCTCCTAGGAGCTTTTGGGAAGTGTATTTTTTAACGTTACGACGATGATCAAAAGAAATCATGTGATATGTGCAATGATAGGATACTGATCTGGAACTAGACAGAGAATGAGCTCCACGTATGTGGGGAGTATATCATTATCAATGAGTTGGCCTGCTGGCTAGTTCCGTATGTTGGTCCATCCTAAATTAAATCCAGTATTTGTCTCTGTCAGTATCCGGGCTGAGATTCAACTCTCTCCTGTTGCATCTCCCCAGTCCTCTCTCCCGTTCTTTAAGCACACTATCACTTTGTTTTTCTTTTTTTTGGGCTTTTGTTTCTGAAATATTTATCATCATCCCTCTACATTATGTTTCGACATGTGAGAGAGAGAGAGAGACCAGAAAAGAAAGAGAGGAGAATCTATTTCCGCCAGTATCCAGGCTTGGATGCCACGTTTCCGTTATCACCAAATCATCGCAATTAATGGAGCTAATCTTAATTTAGTTATTAACCAGTCTGAATCCATCGATTATTTTCCTTGTAATATGAGAAATAATCTCGGATGGTGACGAATCTGGAGGAAGAGAAAAGGAGCAGGCCAGGGTAACGTACATAAATCGGAATGGATCCTTGTACGCATCATTAACTAATTGAGTACTATGATCTTTCCTTTTTAGTAAAAAAATAAGCATTTTAAAACTGTGATTTTGTCTCACCCTAATTCAAACAACGTTCATTAATTAGTTGACCAAAAGAAACTTGGGCAACAAGAGTACGGGTGAAAAATATTTCAAATTCCCAAATTAAAAAAGGTTGGTTGGATGGGCCCTTTCCTTTAGAAAATCGCATACAAACAAAAGAAGGAGATTAAAGAGACATGGCCAGATTCAGGAGTGGGCCCGGAAAGCAGATCTAGGGAAATCTCGTATGACAGGGGCATGACCTAATTTTAAATGGTAATCTCTCAAGATTATCCTTTTAATCTCGTGAGAGATGGCCCCACGTTTGGTAACTCAAAGTCAAAATGAATGTGGAAAAAGTTGATAGGTAATTTTTTTTTTTAAAAAAAAGGAGCTCGTGAACAGCTTGATTGATTAATTAACAGGCAAGCAGTTGCAAAAATGCAGGCAAGAAGCGATAAATGTTTGTTAAAGACGGTATTTAGGCTTTAAACTCACTTTTTTAATCTCCGGTTTGGGAGAACTAGCATCCCAAGAGAAATTTGCTTAAAGTCGGCATGCATTCATTCAAGACAACCTTTTCTGCTTTTGAATTTCATGCACAAATGAGGTATTTGGGTGCATGTGATATTGTGATGTGATCTTGTCAGATATATCAAGGACGAAGGATTAATTAGTGAGGTTTTGTTTTAAATCTGGCTTAACATTTTTCAGATAATATTTATAATTCTTTAATTTTAGAGTCATTTCGTAAGTAAATCCTGCTTTATCAAAATTAATAATTTTGAAGTTTTAAAAATTGTGTCATTTTCGCTTTTGTTGTTTTGTCTTTTTGGCTTCGGCATTAATTGAGACAATAGGACGACTATTAATCACTAATACACACTATATCAATCATGAGAAAGTAGTCTAAAATTATGCATGGGGCGTGCGCGAGAGTAATTAACATTATTAAACTGGAATTTATATCATCGATCAAAAGTTTACGAAGCTTTTTCCCTTGTATTTTTAACGTTATGAAAGACCCATGCATACAGGTGTGACTATGTTTCATTAGGGTTCATGGTAGTTCATCAACTGGGTGGACTCAAGTCCTGGGGGCAGCTGCTTTGCTTCATGCAGATAATTAATTGGCTGATTGTATGAGAAATATTAAATAATTATCGTCACCAAAAAAAGATCAGATTTTATAGTTAGGAAGGGCGCCCTATATCATTTGATTTGACTTCTAGCTAAATGATCGACGAGACAAATTTAGCTAAGAATATAATCCTTATGACGCTGACCTGGGATATCGATAGAGGTGCCGGGCTCTTGTGTGTCCATTTCTGATTAGCTTAAGCTCACATGACGATTCAAATTCTGACCAAACTTAGAGAAACTGATACACTAAAGGGATCGAATTTAAGATGGTTAATAAAGGTTGGCCCAACAAGAAGACAGTTAATAGGTAAAGCAAAATAAGATATTTTGTTCCGGGCGACAAAACCAACGTTTGTAATTATTACTGTTAGTAATATATATATATCAGACCAAAAAGAAAACCTTGACGACAAATCCAAGTAGATATGTGCATGTGAGTGTGTAGTAGACTTGTATATTTGGGACGAAACTCATATAGCATATATAATGTGTGTTTGGAAATACTCCCTCCGTTCCTTATTATAAAAGACAAATAACTAAAGTACGTTGATAAAAAAAATAGTTAAAATTAGTTAAGAACAATTAATGTGTAAAAAGTATAATTTTTTTTCCAAAAATGCCCTCATTAATAAGGAGAGAGAGCATGTGAGAGAACAATTAAATTATTAAAAGAAAGAGAAGTGGGAGGGAGAGAGAGTGTGAATTGGAGATAATAAATATGGGTAAAATAGTAAATCAACACAAAAAAGTAGAGACAACTTGTAAGTGTCTCTTATATATAAGAACATGCTATAAGCATCAAATGTTTCTTATAATAAGGAACGGAGGGAGTATGTTTTTGTATGCTGGGGAGAGAAGGAAAGAAAACATGTGATGGACAAAGGCAGAAATAGTAAGGCGGTGCAAATTAGAAGTTGGTTTGGCAAATGAAGGAATGAAGAGATATACTTGATAAGTGTATATATACATAATTAAATAGATATTTCAGTTCATATTGGATGTCGTCTTCTATACATATGTTTCTTCACCCCTTAATTTATTATTTTGTGTTGCGCCGTGTTGCGTTAGTCCGTGATACGCGACACACATTGATGAGATGATGTGCCATTCTATGAAGAGAACAAACAAAAGAAGGACGAGAGATTGAATTGGAGATTTTAGCATAAGGTTGAGAAAAGAACAAGAGAAGGGGGTGGAGGGAGTTGATGGTGATGTGATCAGACGGTCAATGTGAAACCACGTTAGGACATAATGATCAGCCTCATTGTCAGACGTATGATTGGGTCTAAGCACGAAAGGAGCAACACGTGGCAGACAGAAGATGGGGCCCGCAATCAAGTGTGAATAAAAGGAAAGACTTTCTGCTGCGTATGAATGTCGACATCCTCGATAGGCAACAGATTCGAAATATGGGAGATCTATATCCCTATGCCAAACATACCCCACCCAAGATTATATTTGCTCCCATCCACCTTCTCATTTCAATCATTTCCATCCTTCCTCGCTCCCTCTCTATGTTATATACAGTCACACTCACTATATAATGTATATACTTCTCTCCGTATTAATGTGACACATGTATATCTGTCTGTACATGTATCTTATCAGACTAGCTTCTGATATATGATGATTTACACTACCGGAGCTTTAGTAATTTTTACTTCTTCTTTTCTTGTCTCTGTGTGTCTTGCCATCTGTTAATGTGAATCATATTTTGAACCGTACGTAAATATATTATGCGTCACATGGACAGCTTCTTGAGGAATTTTGTGGGGTTTTTGCAGCAGAGATAAATGGACAAGGGAATAATCAGAATTATCGGCTGAAATTTACTGAAGACGTCGTTTGGGAATCATGGCTTATCTCTAGACCCAACAAACTGGCAATCATTCATGAAAGGAACTCAAGAAAAGAATTCCAGCAAAATTACATTAGTTATACCAAAATAAAGCAAGTATTTGTCCATTCTAGGTGTCCTCAAGGGAGACTCTTGTACATTCGAGTTAAATTCTATTCTATTCGTACTCGTCATTTCCAAAGATGAAAATGTAACTACTGCTTATTTTAATATTAAAAACCAGTACAGTTTATTTGTGTTTTTGAGTATGATATTTAACAAATGATATTGTCAGATTAATGCAGACCACTGTGTGTTCAGTGTCAAAATGAAAATAGAGAAGAAGAATAATAAGATAAGGTGAATGTGAAGACAAGAAGGCCCCACTGATGTGGAGGAAAGGGGAAAAGTAATAGCAGTTTAATCAGTTAAATTAAAAGTGATGATCCACGCCCAAAATCAAAGTCGTAACTTTGGTCATGATGATGACGATGATGGAATCAAAGATCTTGAGATTTTGGTAGGCAATCAAATAAAATCCAAGAGAAAGGGAAAATACAGAGAGAAAAAGCATCAGTGTCATAGTGTTAGAGTGTGTGGTGGTTGTACCAACGCCATGGAGCGACTCCAGAGACAGATTTCTCGGCATGAGCCCCAGCCAAGGCTAAATCTATTACATTATAATACACATCAGTAAGAATAAGACTACTTCTTATCATTACATTGATTTAATCTTCATGTATGTGGCAGTAAAATAAGAACTTTTTAATAAAGAAAGTCAAACTATAGCCCCAACTATTACGAGTAATTTACAAGTATGAGATCTTTTTCCTCCTTCCCACTATTCATATCATGCGTCCGTCCACTTCTACAAAAGGGCACTTAATAAATTGCCACCTCTCTTGCATTGTCATTCATTTTTCTATTCCCTCTTTTGTCCTCTCTCTCATTTTTTTGCGTGTGTGTAAATTGCGGCCTGGGTGGTTCCTCTCTTGTACCGCAAAGTGTGTGTGATAGAGAGAAAGAGAGAGAGTGAAGAATAAATAGTGGGCTCTACTTGGATGGGACCTACAGGGATCGCTATTTCATTCCTAGAATACAACTACTACTTGGTGAATATATATTACTTGGTTTGGTCTTCAGCAGAAATGCACATATCGAGCGAGAGAGGGGGGGAGAGAGAGAGTCCGGAGGGAAGGAGGAAAATAAATAAATAATGGCGGTTGAATCGGAGGATGTGGTGGTGGGCAGGCGAAAGCAAGAGCATTTTCATGTGCTGGCAGTAGATGACAGTGTCATCGACAGGAAGCTTTTAGAGAGGCTCCTTACAGTTTCTTCATGCAAAGGTTTGAAGTTTTGTACATATATACCTATATCCTGGCGCTCTAATTGTTAATCTCGTCCAAATCTCTCGATTGTGAGGAATTGTGTTTAATTATTCTGAACTGTGCAGTGACCTGCGTGGATTCTGGGGATAAAGCTTTGAAGTACCTTGGTCTGCTTGATGACCTTCACAATATTGATGCTACCTCCTCTTCCCTTTCACCTTCGTCTTCTCCTGATCAATCGCTCCACCATGAGGTATTTAATTTATTAATGATCTTCATCCACGACTTCTTCTCCTGCCTGTGACCGTAATCTGAGACTATTGTTTTTTAACTGCCATGTTTGAGCCTCCTAGCTGCAGCTTATATTTATATATTGATTCTAATCACACAAACACAAATCTCTCTTCTGCCAAAACAAAGGTTAAAAGAAGACGAGAACCCGTCCTACACAAGTCGAACTTCCAGTACACAGCAATCCTTTCCTTTTTTTCCGAAGTTAAAAAAAAAAAAAGTTTTAGAATGCCTCTACAGGTATGAAGTCCACCCAGGGTCAAGTTCTCGAACTTCACGTTAAAAAAAAAAAAAGAAACTAAGCTTCAGATGTAGAGAACTATCGAAGATCTTAATGGAAAATGCATTTGAATCTCCAACTCTATTATTCATTTTGAACATATATAGAAGAATGCGGTAGCCGGTTATGCAGGAGATTTTTTTTTTTTCACTGTACCGGCTATCTTATATCAATTTGCTTTTACTTCTGAGCAAAGCCTACTAATTCGGTTCTAGAAAAGGATATAGGAGGTGACGTTTAAAAGGGTGGTGGTAGGTATAGCTAGCTAGGGGTATCCTTGTAGTGGTACTGGGGATGGTTATTATGCGAAACAGTAACAAGTAGTGTTAAATTGTGTGTGAAATGCAGGGTACAAAAGTGAATATGATCATGACAGATTACTGCATGCCTGGGATGAGCGGTTATGATTTGCTTAAACGGCTCAAGGTCTTATTCTTTACCATATTTTCTCTACTCTTTATACATGTGATCGTGTATATATCATTCATGAATAACAAGCACCACAAGTACTAGTGCTCTTGTTTCATTCAATTCTACACCACCATCTTCATTTTCCTCTTTCAAAGTTTCTTATCAGTTCTGACCTTTCCACCACAGCATTCTCATCATTTTCTTTCAAGTGAAATATATTATATAATGCCCCAAGTTCAGTACAGACTAGGGACGCGAAAAAAATTGACGAAAGAAAACAAGAAGAATAATTTCAATTCTAACTCAAAATCAAAGATTGCTCTCGTCTTTTGTTTAGTTTTTATATTCTGTTGTCTTTAATTTGGTTTCCATCTTATGTTATATATTGCTTACTGTGTCCTGCAGGGATCTCCTTGGAAAGACATACCCGTCGTCATTATGTCATCAGAAAACGTGCCTTCAAGAATCAGCATGTGAGAATGTTATTATTGATATTACTATTAATTATTTCTCTTTTAACAGTCTCTTCTTTCTTTTCATCCAACGATAATACCTTCATAGAAAAATAAGGACCTGATTAACTAAACCTTTAAAAAAGTTCACCGTGATTTTAGCTGCATTTTATTAATTCATAGAAAAAGGCAGTGCATCAACTATACATCAAGTATGGGTGTTGGCTGGAAATTCAAAATAAAGTGAAATATTGTGTTATCATTAGGTGCCTGGAAGGAGGAGCAGAGGAGTTTCTCTTGAAGCCTCTTCAGTTATCAGATTTGGAGAAGCTCCAACCCTACTTCCTGAAACTACCCGACAATTCCTGCGAAGGAGAATGCATATCTACCGACAATAGCTATAATAACTGTAATAGTATTAGCAAACGGAAGGCGACGTCACCGGAACCTAGGGAGAGATCAAGATCCAAGATGAAAGAATTAGAGGTTGTGTGAATGGAAAAATAAAGTAATTTTCATCTCAAGAGGTTGCTGAATTTGTAGAGCGTTGTAACATGGCAGCCATATATATGCAAATCCCAAGCATATCATATCTGAGTAGTGCTTTCTGTTCTGATAACCACATCATTTTTCTTCTTTGGGCGTTCACCGTTAAATCACTTCGAGACTTTCATTATGTTGGGCTTTTAGAAGTAACGCCACGTACGTTCGCAACCCATTTTTCTATTCTGTGATCCCTGCAAAACCAGTTCTTCTCTCAGGATTGCTAACGTATTTTGTTTCTCTCCTTAAATAGACAAAGCAATTTCAAAACCTCCAGTACTTAATCGGGTTCCTAATCCACGCAACCATTTTATTAACCATTGCTAGGAAGCAAAGTCTACACATTTTTCGTTCTTCTTTCCTGATGATCTTCCTCTAGCAGATGATGATGATGATGCATCATATACGAGGCTTGGAAGTTTTCTTATTTGGACAACGGCAACATGCAGGATATGGGCAAGTAATTTTTACCGAGTATTTATTTTATCTATGGACTACGTTCGCTTAATTCCAAATTTTAGTTTGATTTTTATGCTTTAAAAACGTATGGAGTTTAAGATAAATTATATTATTCATGACGTATAAATAGTTTATAAATTTTGTATCATATATTGATATCTTCATTATTTTAATGTAAGAAACTAAATTTGTCTATATTGTTAAACTCTAATAATGTCATCAATGTATCATATTTGGACGATATAATCAGTCATGGGTCCTTTGGAACTGTAAATATGTACTACCTCCACTTTTTAATATAACAGCGAGTTGACTAATTTCAAGAAATTAAAAAAAATTAATTAAGCTAGCTACTTTTAATAAATAAGTGTTGTCTTCCTTAAAATATTATTGTTGATCAAATATATTAGTTAAAACTATTATTTGATGAAATCTTCGATATGTGCAATAATTACAACTATTACAAGAACTATTTTGAGAAAAATGAATAAATATGAAAGACAGTAAATTGGGGTCATATATTTAGAATCAAACTAAAAGTCAAACTAACTCTTATATTAAGAACATGAAGGAGCAGTGTTTTGTTTATGTTATGAAAGAGATAAAATAAATAATAAAATAACGTGTGTATGTATACATTAAATTTTTATGCTGAAGTGGTTTGAATGAATAATTGACTTGGATTATGTAGAATCACATTATCAAAATAACGCATAATGTTTGGGTTGCTGAAATATAGATGATAATAATGAAATGAAGAAATCTAAAATTAAAATGACCTAATTACATTTTCTTAGATATACACGATTAAAATGGAAAATCGGATAAAATTATTAAAGATGTTTTTTTTGTGTTAAAAAAAAAATAACGCAGTTTGACCTATAGAAGTAGCTACAGAGAGGGGGATGCAGCTCAGCCGAAGAGGCCTCGTTTGCATCTTACAATTTGTTTCCGATAATCGGTAGAAACAGAGGCCAATAGTGAAAGTGATGGGCTCATGTAGAACACGTTTGAACTTTGAATCCAAAGTCCGAACCTTTTGTTTTTCAAGTCCGACTGACCACGATGACCTGAAATCATACGCATCAAACTATAATTTTCTTTTTGGTTTAAGGAAAAAAAAAGACCATGAGATGTATGCCCAAGTAAGTAAAAGATATCATATCTATGGGTCCTTCCACAGAACTTTGACCGTCGTTGTTACTTTGTTTTGCTTGCATGTTTCAAATTTCAAAGTATTATTGTTCGGACGCATGAAGGCCGACGGCTACAAACCAATGGCGGCTTCGCTTAGTTATTAAATTTAGAAACATTGTTTTAATTTTTTTTTTAACCATGGTTTCAATTTTATGTTGATGGCTTACGTTTTATGCTATAGCTTAAAAAAGATATTTTGGATGAAGTATAAAGATAAATGATATAAATTACTTACTTAAATAATCTAGATCACAAGGACATGTGGCATGTGTGCCCTCAGACGTTAGTCTTGCGTGGCTAGTGTAATATTTGCTAAAGTATAGGTATTTTTCTATTAGAAGTAATCCTATTCAAAATATTATCAGGCACTAATGTGAGCACCTCTCTCAACAGAAATTCACCTCTCTCAACAGAAATTCGAATCTTGATTTACCACGTTATGAGGGACTAGTCCCTTCTGTTAGATTCAACCTCCGTTGAATTGGTTAGTGTAATATTATAATCATCAAAAAGGAATGATCATTTTTGGACTGAGCCTCTCTTCATCATTCGGCGCAGAGGGGGGCTGCTGTGAAATGGGGGTGCCAATCATTAGAGTAATAATTTTGCTCAGAGATGCGCACTATTTTATTTGCCTGATGTTTTAACTTCTAAGGGAATATTAAAATCAAGGGAGGAAACATTCCTCCACAGGAGCACTCTTTTCCTAGTGCAATACAATGGCCACACCTATCATATATTTAATCATGAAAAGGTCCAGAATCTTTTACCAAGAAAAAATAAAAAGGTGCCGAATCTAGTACATTTGATTTAACTGAAAGCAATGGTCTCATGCACGATATTTTGTTAAATGAATGTCATTTATCTCGATTACCGTCGTCGGCTGTAATATGCAACTTCGATACCTTTTGCGTCCTGAATCCTACTACGGATATACGTGAAAACAAGTACATTTTCCACGGATATCAAGAGATATAACAAACTCAAAATCCATCTCAAATGTCAGACACTTCACAGCCTGAACTTTTACAATATCACGTCGCTGAATAGTAAATACCATCACCCACGACAAATTTTTGACGGGAATCGGAAGAAAAACACCCTCCAAATTTTTTTTTTAAAAAAATCAAATCTCTTTCAGTTCAACACTCGTAAAGCTACAATTGTAGCAACTTATAAGAAACACGACTCAACTAAATCTCGGGCCCTCGAGGATCTTTTTGGGCAAGGTTAGGCACTTCGGGGGATTTACCTGTCGAAGATTCGATTCTTTAAACATGAAATACATAGACTAAATCCGTACTCCTTCTGTCAATCGAGTCAAACAATTCGTGTTGCCGTAAATCCTTACTCTTTCAATTTTCAAACTACACAAAATATTAGATTTCGAGATGCATGAAAAATGGATCCACAGCTTCGACGACACCGTACCATCTAATTTCTTCTTCATGTTCACCAAACACCAGCAATCAGACACAGTTTCAACGAAAACGCAGTATTTATCTATATATTATTTATCAATTTATTAATTAATGCCTTAAACACCTAAGGCGGCTTTCTTACACTAATTCAAGTAGACTTCTTTTCCCCGGGAATAAGTTAGAAGATTGTATGTACACTAACACACGTGCAATTATAGAGATTTTTTTTTTCCTTTAAAAATAAAACAAAGAAAGCGAATCCAACTAGTTTCCGAGCAGCGATGTCACAAATGCCAAAACGGCAATGATAATCATGATATTTAGAAAATAGTTAGACTGTAGAGGCTTATCTGGGCTCCCGCCAACTGCCTGGTACTCGGCCCGAATCTTCTGTTTCATAGCATCTGACAGCTCTCTCTGCAATTCAAATACGCAAACTATTGAATCTATTCTTCAATCCTTATTAAGACTTCCAAATTTTACATGTGAGATCACTGGATTTGAAAACTATTCTTGATGTACCAAAAGACACTGACGCTAGAAAAATCTTTTCTTGTTTTTATTCCCGCCACAAACAAGGATAAGTATAACAAAACAATATTTAAATATAAAATTTCCACTTTAATAACAATAAGAAGTCCTAAACCTTCTACAACTATCAATCAAACGAATATTCAAATTTGATGAGTTATGCAAGATTACAACCTTTCCAGTCGAGTATTTCGCTGCTTCAAACTTCTCTGGCTCAGGTTTTGGAGAACCGCTATCGATGACAATACCCTGTAAACCAGATGATGCCACAGGAATCTGTTATTATGACATCTACCTTGATCATTTATGTCGTTGGTTGGACTCAGATAGCGAATAGAAAAAGGAACCAAGAGTTATCTGATATCTCCACCTCAGCAAGGCTTGGGAAACAATTGTAGGATACACAAGTCCACTCATCTAAAGTTCAAGTAATATTCACTAAAAAGTAACCCAAAATGAACAGACCTCCGGAGGATCAAATTTGGCTCCAAGATTGCTAAGTTTGGCGTGGGCTTCAGCATAATCTTTAAAGAACGCTTCCTGATCTTCAGCATATTTCTCTGCATAGACCTGCATATTTTTCAGAGTTAAATGCTGAATCATGACAGCCATGATCAATAAAAACAATCACTTCACCTTAAAAGGCGGATCCTCAAAAAGAACAGCATCGGTTGGCAAGACCAATAGTTCTTCATCCTTTCTTTCTTTGACGTCCTATATGAAGAAACAACAGTTAAAAAATGGAAATTGAGTATCACAACCAACTTCCTCCTCTCCAACGCTCTCTCGTAGAAACAAAACGGAATATGCAGGTCCCTGACCTTGAAGTAAGAGTTGTCAAACTTCAACCATTGCACTGTCCAGGATTGCCCCCCAGGTTCTCCTGGTCCATCTTTCTGTTGAGAAAACGAACAAGGACTTCAAAATTATTGTTAGTTATCTTAACGCGTTCAATTTCTTAAAATTCCACAAGAAACCAGATAAATATGAAGAAATAGACATTAGAGACTGACTCGATTTATTCAAGGGCAGAAAGAACAAAGTTGAAGCATAAATGAAGATTCCTTATTCAACAAGAAATTGAAGCAAGACTTCAAGCATGGAAGTATACCAGATAATGACAAAAACCAATTATCATCCCAGATCACGATACTCAGTGACATATATTTGGTTGACGCAGCAAAGCTATAGCAGTTCAACTTCAGACTATAAAGTAAATTTTAAGTTTAATTCCAAGTCCATTAATAAGCAGAATAAATATATAAACGGCCCCAAAAAATTATTAACATGAAAGGTCTGTGTATAGCGAGTCCAAAACTTCGTGTCGTCAAAGCAGGCCATTTAAGAACTGAACTCATTACTCTTTCTAACCTACTGTTACCGATATAGGAGGCTGTATCCCCGCCTCTCATCATCACCTACTGTTAACAATTTTTAGTGCCGATGCCATTGACCTTTATTATTCATCATGCATCACACCACTGAATATTAGACTGATAAAATGACTGATAGTATACCGTATACTTGGTCTCTGGCTTGCCCCAGCCACTACGCTGTGGTCGAGACCGCCCCAGTGTGTGGG